CACAAAATGGGTCATGCACAAGATTTTAGTCAGACCAAGCTATAACATTATATATTTACTACGACAGTACATTCAACCAAAAGCTAATATAACAAAGGCATCAGAGATTATTTATAATCTGTCACAGAAACTGGAATCCATCTCCCCAGATCAGTCAATAAATGCTTCTGGTATTGACTTATATGCTGCCCCTGTCTTCATGTTGTTGCTGGACATATCTTTTTTAAAATGTGTGTAGGTCACCTAAATCATCAGAAAAATTGCCCCTCCTGAGAATTTTTTCAGGAGCCGCCACTGACTAGGTCCCCCCGTGTGGTTCTGGGATTTTTGCTCACCGTTCTTGTGATCATTTTGACCCCACGGGGTGAGATCTTGCGTGGAGCCCCAGATCGAGGGAGATTATCAGTGGTCTTGTATGTCTTCCATTTCCTAATAATTGCTCCCACAGTTGATTTCTTCAAACCAAGCTGCTTACCTATTGCAGATTCAGTCTTCCCAGCCTGGTGCAGGTCTACAATTTTGTTTCTGGTGTCCTTTGACAGCTCTTTGGTCTTGGCCATAGTGGAGTTTGGAGTGTGACTGTTTGAGGTTGTGGACAGGTGTTTTTTATACTGATAACAAGTTCAAACAGGTGCCATTAATACAGGTAACGAGTGGAGGACAGAGGAGCCTCTTAAAGAAGAAGTTACAGGTCTGTGAGAGCCAGAAATCTTGCTTGTTTGTAGGTGACCAAATACTTATTTTCCACCATAATTTGCAAATAAATTCATTAAAAATCCTACAATGTGATTTTCTGGATTTTTTTCCCTCAATTTGTCTGTCATAGTTGACGTGTACCTATGATGAAAATTACAGGCCTCTCTCATCTTTTTAAGTGGGACAACTTGCACAATTGGTGGCTGACTAAATACTTTTTTTCCCCACTGTATGCATGCACCACTTTTCCGTTATTTATTTTGTAGAATTTTTGGAAACGAGTTATTTTTTTCATTTCACTTCACCAATTTGGACTATTTTGTGTATGTCCATTACATGAAATCCAAATAAAAATCCAGTGAGCGGTTTGCTGATGTCAACGTTGTGAACAGAGAACCCCATGGTGGCGGTGGGATTATGGTAAGGGAAGACATAAGCTACGGACAATGAACACAATTGCATTTTATCGATGGCCTAAAATGCTCAGTACTCTGTAGCTCATGCATCGCTAGTTTCCAGATATCGCTGCTAAAGGATGAGGAACAGCAGCAGTCATGGACTCAACTAAAGCGGATACAACTCATTATGCACATATACACACAACATGCTTTCAAAAGCATCTGTGAAACCATTCCAAAGCTGAGATGAGGGCTGAAGGAGGGCTGAGAGGAGAGCTGAGAGGAGGGCTGAGAGGAGAGCTGAGAGGAGGGCTGAGAGGAGAGCTGAGAGGAGGGCTGAGAGGAGGGCTGAGGAAGGGCTGAGAGGAGGGCTGAGAGGAGGGCTGAGAGGAGAGCTGAGAGGAGGGCTGATAGGAGGGCTGAGAGGAGAGCTGAGAGGAGGGCTGAGAGGAGGGCTGAGAGGAGGGCTGAGAGGAGGGCTGATAGGAGGGCTGAGGAAGATCTGAGGGGAGGGCTGAGAGGAGGGCTGAGAGGAGGGCTGAGGAAGATCTGAGAGGAGAGCTGAGAGGAGGGCTGATTGGAGGGCTGAGAGGAGGGCTGAGGAAGAGCTGAGAGTAGGGCTGAGAGGTAGGCTGAGAGGAGGGCTGAGAGGAGAGCTGAGAGTTGGGCTGAGAGGAGGGCTGAGGGGAGGGCTGAGGGGAGGGCTGAGAGGAGAGCTGAAGGAGGGCTGGGGGAAGACTTTCTGAAGAGGATTTTCCTCCTGAAGGTAATACGAGCTGGAGGATTGACATAAACCCAGAATAAACACCAGGTTTTTGGTACAAAGGCATCATTAAATACAAAGCTAGTGTAGAAGAAGAAAGACGATGATATGCACACACACACACACACACACACACACACACACACACACACATTGTGTGTGCATTTCTCTCTTAACTGTCCTCTACTCAACATGCTGTATTATCAGCAAAGAGGGCCATAGATAGTCAGTTTAAAGTACACAATACATTTTGGAATGGTTTCACAGATGCTTTTGAAAGCATGTTGTGTGTATATGTGCATAATGAGTTGTATCCGCTTTAGTTTGATTCCATGACTGCTGCTGTTCCTCATCCTTTAGCAGCGATATCTGTAAACTAGCGATGCATGAGCTACAGAGTACTGAGCATTTTAGGTGATCAGGCCGGGGAAGGGAGGGAAGTGTATGTGTGTGTATGTGTGTGTGTGTGTGTGTGTGTGTGTGTGTGTGTGTGTGTGTGTGTGTGTGTGTGTGTGTGTGTGTGTGTGTGTGTGTGTGTGTGTGTGTGTGTGTGTGTGCGTGCCCGTGAGTACTGTAGTACTATAGCTTATTTATTTAGGTCTGTCAGAGTTGAACACCATTCTTTCTCAGGGAAGAGGCTGAGACATCTTGCCAGCCAGAAAGCCAGCCAGGCAGGTCTGTAGAGTCAGTCTCAGACCCCTCTCTTCACCTCGTCATTTCTTAGTGGACGAAGCCCATAATATTTCTCTCTTTGCACTGGAGCCAGTGGAGCTTGGAAGCCAAGCTCATGACAACTAATTCAGCTCCATGGGATCGTCCTGTAACTGGGATAGGTTGCAGCCCAAATGGTACCCTATTCCCTATATAGTACACTACTTTAGACCAGGGCCCATAGGGCCACTATGTATAGGGAATAGGGTGTCATTTGGGATGCAACCGTACACTCCTAGAAAAAAAAGGTGCCATCTAGAACCTTGAAGGGTTCTTCGGCTATCCCTATAGGAGAACCCTTTGAAGAACACTTTTTGGTTGCAGGTAGAACCCTTTTGGTTCTAGGTATAACCCTTTTGGTTTCCTTTCTACAGAGGGTTCTACATGGATCCAAAAAGGGTTATTCTATGGGGACAGCCGAAGAACACTTTTGGAACCCTTTTTTCTTAGAGTGTAGAGAGGGGGAGATGCTGCCTGCTGCGAAATCAGTCAGCTGCTGCCTGCCTGGTTTGCTATGATTGGTGATTGGTCATTACTACAGCCCTTCTCTGTCCGTCCACATCGGCCAGTTCAAATAAACTAACACCTGATCTCTCAATACCCTCTTTTATGGTGTGGATAGGACACATCTTAACCAGGCAGTCAGGCAGTCATAAACTATCAAATAAATGTAGTACTTTGATTGTACTTTAGTTTGTCTTATGTGCACCTTTTTACATTATAGTTGCTAATGTGATACCAATGTCAATGGAAATTCGCAAATCAACTTGATTGGAGGTACACAACACACTCCCAGCTCTCGTCATGATCCATCCGGCCGTTACCAAGAACCACTATACCGGATTTTTGACAGAGTCGTTAACATAAGGGTCGTCAGACAATTTTAGGCCCAAACCTAGCTCAAATTCTAGATATCGGATTAAAACGAGGCACAGTGTCCATAAACTGACCATTAGACTTAGATCCATTTGGACTGAATAAGTTTGTCACGGATTCTGCCGAGGCTGCTCCTCCTCCTTGCTCGGGCAGGCTTCGGCGTTCGTCGTCCTCGGAGTACTAGCTACTGCCGATCGATGTTTCGGTGTTTGTCTTGTTTTGTCTTGAATAGTACACCTGTTGTCTATTATGTTTGATTGTTTAGCCTATAATTTCCTTTGTTTCACGTTTGGTATTTGTGTGTTATTGTTGTATGTCTAGTCGATGTTCGGCCTTGCTATTTTCTCCATATTACGCATATGGTGTTTTTCCCTCCAGTTGTGGAGGCGTTTGTTTTGTGCTTTACATTCAGTAAAGTAGTCTACCTGATTCTCTGTGTCCTGCGTCTGACTTCACTCGCCGCGTACACATCACCTTCTGACAAAGTTTGTAGGTGCAACAGTTTTGATTAAATTCACAATTTACCGCTCTCACGTGCACATTTCTGCCGAATAAAAACCAACGATGTGCTAACTTTTTGTAGCATTTCTGACAATGCTAACATATTTTCAGTGGAATCTCAGAGTTCTAAAACCGGGTGCAACTCGGTTGCTGTGCAACAGTAGCAGCTAGCTAGTAGAAGGCTAGCAGCTGTAGCTAGCTAGCTAGCTTACACCAGTTGGATGGGAAGCACAAGGAAGGTAGCTAGCTAGGTATATTTTGCTGTGGAAGGTTTTTCATATGGCTGAAGTCATCTGTGTAAACTGCTGACCTGGACACTTGCATGTAATCAGAGCACAAATAAATAAGCCAACGAATGTCCTTGGCTGCTATTATAGCCAGTTAAATACACCGAACTTTGGGAAAACTACCACACTGCTAATTTATAATACATGCACACACCAGAGCTGTTTGGGAAGGTTTCAATCCAACATAGACCAACATAGCTACTGTAGTAGGTCAAAGCTATGTACTGGAAAACGTTGGTAGAGCATGGGTGAAGTATTCATTGTGGTGCTTGTGAATTTCCTTTATTTTTTGGCTTCAGACCAATGTCTCCTCACCACGACCCGGGAGAGTATGTCAGGGAAATTGCAGGTGTTGGTTTGGAGCTCGGCTTGCAGACATTCTGAGGCTATCTTCCATCCAGCCTGGTTCTGCTTCATCTCTGTAATGTGAGTGAGCTGAGTGGTCCAGTGTGGAACAAGCGTATAAAGTGAAAACATTGTTGAAACAAGGTTGATATATGGAATACTTTATTTATTTATTTCCAAATCATTGGAGAGTGGGGATACCAGATATATTAAAGGTCCAGTCAGAATTTTGCTTTTCACATTGTGCATCCATTTAAATGCATGGATAAAGTTGACATATTTAATAACAAGATACTGTCTGCACCTTGACTGTTTTTTTCTGGAAGTTTGTTGTCCTTCATAGCAGAGTACTGATGCCTCAGCCCTTCTCTCTCTCTCTCGCTCTCTCGCTCTCTCGCTCTCTCTCTCTCGCTCTCTCACAGTAGGTTTGGTACAAGGTGTGACCGGTGCAGACGCCAGATATACGCCAGCGACTGGGTGCGTCGGGCCAAGGGCAACGCCTACCACTTGGCGTGCTTCGCCTGCTTCTCCTGCAAGAGGCAGCTGTCCACGGGGGAGGAGTTTGGCCTGGTGGAGGAGAAGGTGCTCTGCAGGATCCATTACGACACCATGGTGGAGAACCTCAAACGGGCTGCCGAGAGCGGTGATTGAGCGCTCTACTACCTAGTCGTATATGTGTATATATATATATATATATATATATATATATATATATATATATATATATATATACACTGAGTGTACAAAACATTAGGAACACCTTCCTAATATTGAGTTGCACCCCCTTTCACCCTCAGAACAGCCTCAATTCAGCAGGGCATGGACTCTACATGGTGTCGAAAGCGTTCCACAGGGATGCTGGCCCAAGTTGACTCCAATGCTTCCCACAGTTGTGTCAAGTTGACAGGATGTCCTTTGGGTGGTGGACCATTCTTGATACACAGGGAACTGTTGAGCGTGAAAAACCCAGCAGCGTTGCAGTTCTTGAATCAAACCGTTGCACCTGGCACGTACTACCATACCCCATTCAAAGGCACTTCAATATTTTGTCTTGCCCATTCACGCTCTGAATGGCACACATACACAATCCATGTTTCAATTGTCTCAAGGTTTAAAAATCCTTCTTTAACCTGTCTCCTCCCTTTCATCTACAATGATTGGAGTGGATTTAACAAGTGACATCAATATGGAATCATAGCTTTCACCTGGATTCACCTGGTCATTCTATGTCATGGAAACAGCAGGTGTTCTTAATGTTTTGTATACTCAGTGTATTCGGAAAGTATTCAGACCCCTTCCCTTTTTCCACATTTTGTTACGTTACAGCCTTAATCTAAAATTGATTAAATTGTTTTTTCCTCTCATCAATCTACACACAATACCCCATAATGACAAAGCAAAAATGTGTTTTTTGAAATGTTAGCAAATGTATTAAAAATTAAAAACAGAAATACCTTATTTACATAAGTATTCAGACCCTTTGCTATGAGACTCGAAATTGAAATTGAGCTCAGGTGCATCCTGTTTCCATTGATCATCCTTGAGATGTTTCTACAACTTGATTGGAGTCCACGTCCACCTGTGGCAAATTCAATTGATTGGACATGATTTGGAAAGGCACACACCTGTCTATATAAGGCCCTACAGTTGACAGTGCATGTCAGAGCAAAAACCAAGCCATGAGGTCGAAGGAATTATCCATAGAGCTCCGAGACAGGATTGTGTCGATCTGGGGAATGGTACCATTCTTAAATGGAAGAAGTTTGGAACCACCAAGACTCTTTCTAGAGCTGGCCGCCCGGCCAAACTGAGCAATCGGGGGAGAAGGGCCTTGGTCAGGGAGGCGATCAAGAACCCGATGGTCACTCTGACAGAGCTCCAGAGTTCCTCTGTGGAGATGGGAGAAACCTTCCAGACGGACAACCATCTCTGAAGCACTCCACCAATCAGGCCTTTATGGTAGAGTGGCCAGACGGAACTCACTTCTCAGTAAAAGGCACATGACGGCCCGCTTGGAGTTTGCCAAAAGGCACCTAAAGGAGTCTCAGACCATGAGAAACAAGATTCTCTGGTCTGATGAAACCAAGATTGAACTCTTTGGCCTGAATGCCAAGTGCCACGTCTGGAGGAAACCTGGCATCATCCCTACGGTGAAGCATGGTGGTGGCAGCGTCATACTGTGGTGATGTTTTTCAGCGGCAGGGACTGGGAGACTAGTCAGGATCGAGGGAAAGACGAACGGAGCAAAGTACAGAGAGATCCTTGATAAAAACCTGCTCCAGAGCGCTCAGGACCTCAGACTGGGGTGAAGGTTCACCTTCCAATAGGACAATGACCGTAAGTACACAGCCAAGACAACACATGAGTGGCTTCGGGACAAGTTTCTGAATGTCCTTGAGTGGCCCAGCAAGAGCCTGGACTTGAACCCGATCAAACATCTTTGGAGAGACCTGAAAATAGCTGTGCAGCGATGCTCCCCATCCAATCTTACAGAGCTTGAGAGGATCTGCAAAGAAGAATGGGAGAAACTCCCCAAATACAGGTGTGCCAAGCTTGTAGCGTCATTCCCAAGAAGACTTGAGGCTGTAATCGCTGCCAAAGGTGTTTCAACAAAGTACAGAGTAAAGGGTCTGAATACTTCTGTAAGTGTAATATTTCCGTTTTTTATTTTTAATAGATTTGCAAAAATGTCTAAAACCTGTTTTTGCTTTGTCTTTATGGGGTATTGTGTGTAGATTGATGAGGGGGGCTGTAACTTAACAAAATGTGGACAAAGTCAAGGGGTTTGAATACTTTCCGATGCACTGTATATATCTGTAGAGATATATTATATATCACTGCTGAGAGCTAGTCTAGATCCTATTCTCTGACATAGTAAAATATCTGTCCCTGTCAAAGATTTCTTCTGTATGGTTATATGTACAGTACCAGTCAAATGTTTGGACACACCTACTCATTCAAGGGTTTTTCTTAATTTTTTACTATTTTCTACATTGTAGAATAATAGTGAAGACATCAAAACTATGAAATAACACATATGGAATCATGTAGTAACCAAAAAAGTGTTAAACAAATCAAAATATATTTTATATTTGAGATTCTTCAAATAGCCACCCTTTGCCTTTATGACAGCTTTGCACACTCTTGGCAGTGTCACCAGCAAAGCACCCCCACACCATAACACCTCCTCCTCTGTGCTTTACGGTGGGAAATACACATGCAGAGATCATCTGTTCACCCACACTGTGTCTCACAAAGACACGGCGGTTGGGACCAAAAATCTCCAATTTGGAGACCAAAGGACAAATTTCCATCGGTCTAATGTCCATGTAACACTTTTTTGGTTACTACATGATTCCATATGTGTTATTTCATAGTTTTGATGTCTTCACTATTATTCTACAATGTAGAAAATAATAAAAATAAAGAAAAACCCTTGAATGAGTAGGTGTGTCCAAACTTTTTACAGGTACTGTATATGTAGCTGTATAATCCCTGTCATATTGTTACCAATGTATGTAGTTATATAACACACTGTATAACCCTGTAGTAACCCTGGTAACATTGGTAACCCTGGTAACACTGGTTTTAAATATGGCTTTTGCCTCATGTCCCTTTCTGTTGGTCTCTTTCTTTCTATGTTTCTCTCCCTCTCATTCTCCCTGTCCCTGTGCCGTGGTGTCCCAGGTAGTGGGCTCACTCTGGAGGGGGCAGTGCCATCAGAACAGGACAGCCAACCCAAGCCTGCCAAGAGAGCACGCACCTCCTTCACTGCTGAGCAGCTGCAGGTTAGTCACAGAGAGGGAACCACATGTCCATGGCTCCTCATTTCTTTTTCTAATAATAAGTCAATAGTAAATGATAATGACTTCACAAATTGATTTCACTATCTTAGTAACTTTCTAATGGTCGTTGTTAGTTACATTGTCACATGTTGTTTGGTGTCTCATTCATGTATGTTGTTGATCTCTGCAGTAATATGGAAAATATATTTCTGAAAGCTGATACGAAATAATTTGCTAATGTAGAATAAAAATAGGTGAGACTGAGGTCATACATCTCTAAAAACTCTGTTATAATTCCCAGGTGATGCAGACTCAGTTTTCACAGGACAATAACCCTGACGCACAGACTTTGCAGAAACTGGCGGACATGACAGGTCTAAGCAGGAGAGTCATACAGGTTAGTGTCTGTCTGTTCACTCCATCTCAAAGCAATGCTAGCGATTGCACTGTAAAGCAACTGTAAGTTGCTTTGGATACAGCGTATGCTAGGTGGCATAGTTAATGCATGATTAATGGTCCTAAAACATTGAGAATATAGCTGCAGACACATTCCGGCTGGTAACATTGCATTTTCATAGGTTTGGTTTCAAAACTGCAGAGCAAGACACAAAAAGCATACCCCCCAGCACAGCGGACCCCCGCAAGGCCACCCCCAGTCCCGGATGCCCTCCTCGCTGCCTGACGACCTGCATTACTCCCCCTTTGGCAGTTCTGAGAGGGCGCGCATGGTGGCCCTGCACGGATACATCGACAGTGAGTGTTACATAGGTTAGTCTGTCTAGTATATCATCACAAAGCTTTCCAGTCTTTTTATAATTTTTACGTTTCCTATGTCAGAAAATAAAAGAAGAAGGAAGACATAAAGAGAGATAAATCAAATCAAATCAAATTTTATTTGCCACATGCGCCGAATACAACAGGTGAAATGCTTACTTACAAGCCCTTACTTACAAGCCCTTACTTACAAGCCCTTACTTACAAGCCCTTAAGAAATGTTAAGTAAAAAATTGATAAGTAAAAAATTAAATATAGCAAATAATTCAAGAGCAGCAGTAAAATAAAATAACAGTAGGGAGGCTATATACAGGGGGTACCGGTACAGAGTCAATGTGCAGGGGCACCGGTTAGATGAGGTAGTTGAGGTAATATGTACATGTGGGTAGAGTTAAAGTGACTATGCATAAATAATAAACAGAGTAGCAGCAGCGTAAAAGAGGGGGTTGGGGTGGGGGGGGATATGCAAATAGTCCGGGTAGCCATGATTAGCTGTTCAGGAGTCTTATGGCTTGGGGGTAGAAGCTGTTAAGAAGCCTTTTGGACCTAGACTTGGTGCTCCGGTACCACTTGCCGTGCGGTAGCAGAGAGAACAGTCTATGACTGGGGGTGGCTGGAGTCTTTGACAATTTTTAGGGCCTTCCTCTGACACCGCCTGGTATAGAGGTCCTGGATGGCAGGAAGCTTGGCCCCAGTGATGTACTGGGCCGTACGCACTACTCTCTGTAGTGCCTTGTGGTCGGAGGTCGAGCAGTTGCCATACCAGGCGGTGATACAACCGGTCAGGATGCTCTCAATGGTGCAGCTGTAGAACCTTTTGAGGATCTGAGGACCCAAATCTTTTCAGTCTCCTGAGGGGGAATAGGCTTTGTCGTGCCCTCTTCACGACTGTCTTGGTGTGTTTGGACCATGATAGTTTGTTGGTGATGTGGACACCAAGAAACTCAAAGCTCTCAACCTGTTCCATTACAGCCCCGTCGATGAGAATGGGGTCGTGCTCAGTCCTCTTTTTTTGTCCTGTAGTCCACAATCATCTCCTTTGTCTTGATCACGTTGAGGGAGAGTTGTTGTCCTGGCACCACACGGCCAGGTCTTTGACCTCCTCCCTATAGGCTGTCTCGTCGTTGTCGGTGGTCAGGCCTACCACTGTTGTGTCGTCGGCAAACTTAATGATGGTGTTGGAGTCATGCCTGGCCATGCAGTCATGGGTGAACAGGGAGTACAGGAGGGGACTGAGCACGCATCCCTGAGGGGCCCCCGTGTTGAGGATCAGCATGGCAGACGTGTTGTTGCCTACCCTTACCACCTGGGGGGCGGCCCGTCAGGAAGTCCAGCATCCAGAGGAGTGATTGGGACAGCCGAATAACACTTTTGGAACCCTTTTTTCTAAGACTTTAACTATTGACCGTGTTTCGCTGTGTCAATAGTTCAAGTCCAAGTTTTCCGTTTATTTGCCCTTTGTAATGAACACATTGGAAATCTTGCTCACTGGAGCGCTAATAATAAAACAAATACTGTGCTAAAGTATGTTCCTCTACTGCTCCTCTATCTTGATACTGTGCTTAATTAAATGTCTTCTGATATTTTAAATGTGTCTCTCTCTTCTGTTCCACCAGGCCACCCGTTCTCTGTTCTAGCGACACAGAGCCTGAACCCCCATCAATCCATGTCACTGTCCCAGCTACCCCTCAGCCGCTAACTAACGGACGCTGCCGCCATCACCCCTGACCTCTGACCATGAACCCTGACCTCCCATCAGCAACCTCCATTCACAGACTCGACCCCAGTGGTCAAACATGATGACTTACAGAGAGGATCAAGATTCGATGATGAGAGAGAGAGAGAGAGAGAGAGAGAGAGAGAGAGAGAGAGAGAGAGAGAGAGCGAGAGAAGAGAGAGAGAGCGAGGATAGAGTCTATAGCTATATAGAGATCTCTCTAGTCTCTCGCTCTCTCTCTCTCTCTCGCTCTCTCTCTCTCTCTCTCTCTCTCTCCTCCTCTTCTGCTCTACCTCTCTCTCTCCTCCGCTTCTCTCTCTCGCTCTCTCTCGCTTCTCTCTCTCTCTCCCCACCTATTGTTGTCATGGAGGACATGAGCCCTTCCTTTTGCTAACTGGGACTTATTCACTATCAAGACACATTCAACTCGACTATGAGCTCTCTGTGCGTGCAGAAATGGACTGAAAGGACTCCTCTCGCCATCCCATGAAGGGAGTGATGGGACCAGGCTAACAGGCCTGTGTGTGCTGTCAGATTTCTGAAGATTTACTCATGAGGAGAAAAGAACGGCAAGGGATTGGGTTTGTGGGCTGGGCAAAGGACACTGAGGTCAGAAACCTCCCCCTTTCGCTCTGTGATTATACCATGAAGGAATGCAAAATAACTGACTGTTTTGGTGTGGAATCTGCTACGAACTAAAAACGAATAAGAATTTTTAAATCACAGTTTTTAGTAGGGAAATGTATTATACTTCATATTCATCATCTCCAGCACCACCCAAACATCAACATATGTGAAAATGGCGCGTTTCTATGTTTTGTGGTACAAAAGATCACACGAAATCACACAATGCACACTGATGATGTCATTGGAAAAACGTATCTTCCTCTATATACTACAAAACATAGAAATGTGCAATTTCCACGTGCTGGAGATGATGAATATACATTTTAAATGTCCCTTTAATACACTGTCATCAGCAACCTTCTGTATAGGATATGAGCCTCAAATGAGGATAGATTGTGCGCCTTATCTTATCCATGATGAGCAAACAGAACGACCGTAATTTGGTTGTTTTTAATTATCAATCATTTTCAGGCAGCTGAGGTAAAACAATATAATTCACAGAGAAAAAAACCCTCAAATTTATTATGACACGTTATTTTTGTGGAAAGGTGTAACTTTCAATTTGTACTGGTGAAAATATTGAAATATTATTTATTTGGTGCGATTTGAATTTTCAATGATCTTGTGCAAAAATACATAACAATCTATTGTTATGGACATTTCAATCATTTGAAGCTCCAAATTGTAGTTGTCTAAAATCATGATTTACTGTAACACCCTTGTGAGACTTTTGAAATTAACAATCACGTTGCGTATGAGAGAAAGAGAGGAAGGTCTGAAATGTGTAAATTGATAGTCTTCCTCCAGTGGATAAAGACTGAAAGACAGATACATGTCACATTACATGTAATACCTTTTTTAAACAGGTGTTTTGTCAGCAATTTAGCATTTATGTCTGTGCAGGATCCATGTCAGTCAGTTTTTTTCTTCTGCAATGGTCCAGCCTCTGTGCTTCACTTCTATGGGTTGAATGGAGGTGTGGTACAATAACAATAAGCGGACTGGGGATATGATATGTATATAGACGTCTGTGACTGGCAGGTAGAGGGAGGTTGTGTGAAACTGTAACTGTGGAGTGGAGTCAGTGAGGAATAGGATCCTGTGTTTACAAAGGGACTAAGGGAGACAAGACTTCAATGTTCTTGTATTTATTGAGACAATAGTCTGTAAGCACTTTTTTTCTCAGAAATGTGTGTACTAAAAGCAATAAAATTGACTTTAAAATGTGACATTTGTATTTTTTAATAATTTCAGTTGGACCACAATTTGATGCAAGCACTTTAAAACCCTTATCCCAAACAATCCACAATAAAGGATGCACACACACACACACACACACACACAGGAGCCAATTTAAAAATAGATCTTGAAATATAAAATCTGTGGTAGAGGTCAAGTGATCCTACTGTATAACTGTGTCTGTGCATGCTACTCTATATATGCCAAGGTAGTGGGTTCGATCCCCGGGACCACCCATACACACAAAAAAAAAAATATTTAAAAAAATGTATGCACGCATGACTGTAAGTCGCTTTGGATAAAAGCGTCTGCTAAATGGCATATTATTATTATTATATGCATTATGCTACTCATTGTACATTTTTTATAGGCCTCTGAGTTATTCTGGTGTGTTTGCATTTTCCATAAGCCTGTGTTTGCCTGGTTGTGTGTGTGTGCATACTTGCATGTGTGAGTGTGTGCGTGCGTGCGAGTGTGCCCTGCGCGGGGCAGGAAGCAATCACAGGCCGATGGCTGTGCTAGTGGGCGCTTCATGGGTCAGTGTGTGCAGTAATAACTACTCTCCTCCTCTCCTCGCATTTCCTCCTCTCCTCTCCTCTCCTCTCCTCTCCTCTCATTTCCTCCTCTCCTCTCATTTCCTCTCCTCTCCTCTCCTCTCATTTCCTCCTCTCCTCTCCTCTCCTCTCCTTTCCTCTTCTTCTCCACCGCTCTGCTGCTGATTCCTCCGGCGAGCCCAGCGGAGCACCATCACAGACAGGAAGTCACTGACAGGCTGCATCATTACATTTACATTTACATCATTTAGCAGACGCTCTTATCCAGAGCGACTTACAAATTGGATGAGATTGATCCCCTACCCTGGGTCCTGTTTCAAAGGGTAGCTCTCGCTGAGGCAGACATAACGTCTCACTCAGAATATATGCTTGGTCTGTCTGTACAAAAACACACCAAAATTAAATAAATAAAAAATCGTACATGCATAAAACTATAGAAAACACTACAGCATTAAGTAGAAAGTACAATTACTGGAGCCAAAGCCTTATTTTGAGATATATCTAAATATAAGACTCTAACTGGAACAAAGCCTCTAGCAACTGTATATTATGCTGGTGGATATCTTGCATTATAACAGGAAGTAATCTCTCATGTTGATTTGCATCCATTAGGCTGCTACCTGCTGAGTCTTTCAGGACACTTGAGAGAACAATCTGACACTGATTACATTGGCCTGGCACTGGCAGCACAACCATTTTAGGACCATGCAGAGAATTAAAGGACAAACATTACACGTAAACTAATGGCTTTACAAGTTACAAATCCAGGCTTGATGGGTTTTTTTTTCTCATTCTGCATGAAAATGTTTGACAGCATTAGCATATTTTTCGATCTTGACTTCCATCACATATTTCATTTCAGTATGGCTACTTTACATGCGTATCACTATGTTTTTGTGCATCTGAAATAAACCTACCGATTTTTTTATGCATCTGATAAATTAAATCTATTTAAAATAAAAAACGAAAATGTGGGATATTTCATATTTCACAACATATGATTCACAGGTAGCCTATACACACCACAGTTAAACATTCCATAAATTAGCTTCCTTTTAAATCGGCAGCTGCTCAGGCCCCTCAACTCAATGTCCAGTTCTGAAATATGGCCTAGTTGTTAGGTGAATGTCCAACGATCTCATCCCAGCTCTTCCGACAAGTGCTCACAATCCACTCATGTTCATAGTCATCTGCAGGAAAATAAATAGATTTTCAGAATAATCAAATAAGACCATAAAGGTCAGAATAAAGCAACAAACTTTTAAAACAACTTTTAAACATACAATTATTCTAACAACTTACAGGGTATAAAGAAATGACTGATTCTAATAGTTCATAAAATAAAATTGTATATTAAAATGTGATGGAGGGAGATGAAAAAAAGCCACTGGACTGGAAGCATATCATTATATCTGCTTTTGAAATGGACACATTCAACTCAAGAGCCATTTACATCTCAGTGAAAAATCAGGGTAACAATTAGGAGAAAATAACTTCTTAGTGGTACTTCAACCACCAATAAATCACACACCCAAAAACGACAATTTTAACAAGGATGACTCGACTACCAAAACAGCGGATAATATAGTGTTTTTCATAGTTAAAACTGAAATTACTTGATAATTGCAGAGCAAGACGTTGCTTCTCTGCTGGGACTGAATCGGAGCGTCGCAGCTGCACACACTTGAGCGCTCATCTGGGGGAACAGTGTGCGCTGGGCCCATTGTTGGGAACAGGTCTGAAGCTCTAGCCTGATTGTGTGTAATTGCCTGCGATAGCCCCAGCCACTCCAAGTCGCCTCTCTCGCCACTCTACCTGGCTTGTGCGTTCAGAAATAGAAATCACATGCACCACGGCAACTGCATGCGAGAAACAGCCTATCCACCCTTTTTTGTCGCCTTGTGTTGCCTCCCCCCTTCGCAACAAACGGAGGTCAGCGTCAAGAAGGTCATTTCATTACTATTTTAAACCAATTAATACCTCTGCACCGGTTTCTGATGGTTGCGAGGTCTTATAGAACTGCAATTAGGCCTACCGTTTCCCCGAGCGCATATGGTAATGAGATATAATTCACACATTTTCATATGCTGTAATTTGCCCTGGATTATGATCGTCCACAAAGCGTTTAAAAGTCACTCCTACTTTAATACAATTCTATTTGAGGACACAGGTGGCCACCATGGTTCGGAAGCAATCTGAAATAAAATGTAAATTGTGAACACTTAACATACACTTCATGTGTTTTTAAATTGTTACTGTGGACGTCTTATTTAAACCCTGCAATAAAGCCTTCTATATTGAGCGTTTAGGGGCGTTTAGGGACTTTCATTTGGATGTATTAATTCTTGGAAAAATAATTTAGCCTACATACTTTAGTTTTTAAGAAGAAAATAAAATCCTAAATGGGTTATAAAAAATATTATCCACCAGATCCAAATGATTGTAGTCTGCATGGTTGTATTGTTTGATTCATTTGTCTACACTTGACTGTCATGAAATAAAAAATTATACATATAAAAAAAAACTGATTGGGCACATTGCACACTACCTGTAAGCTAT